GTCTGCGGCACGTTTTATTATGAATGCGCGAGCTTTATTTGACGACTTGTGGACTGTTCAACTGCAGCACCCGCAGACTGCAATGATAGAGCTTGGAATAGCCAGGACAATTTTTAATATAACTCCGACTGGATTCGTCTGAAAGAAGAAAGTCATATACACCTAGGATGCCTCGGGGGTGAGTAAAACACAAGCTTATTTTCATTTTTGGGTGAACTAACCCTTTAAGTACAGGGTCCTTTAAAATAGGGTGACCCTAACGTCCATTTTTTCCTGGACTTGTCCTGGCCAGGATTTCTAAATTGCGCCAAATGTCCAGGCCTTGGCTTTGTGTTACTTTTGTTTGCATATTCGCTGAAGGTAATAACTGAAAAGTAGTTTGACCTGTAGAGTGCAAGCATGTGTGCATATTCAACCAATCGTGGCGTGCATGAAAGTGGGATCTACAGAGAATGGTTAAAGCAATGCAACGTTATATGCAGAAATTTGATTACTTGTGATAATACCAACTTTCAGCATTAAATTATACTCCTATAGACTCTGCCTTTCTTTGTGAGCAAAATTACACATAACATTTAATTCATCTCATGGCTTATACTGAAATGCATTCAACAAGATTTATTAAATTCACTCAGTTGTAGCCAGTGCCAGATAACCAATTATGGTAACATTAAATATTCATTTGAGTGTTCATTACAGCTTAAATCAAAGATGCTTTACTATAACTCTAACTGAGAAATTGATTAAATACTCATAACTCATCATCCAAAAAAGCAATGGTTTTGCTTATTCCGTAAAAAATTAAGTTCCTCGTGACGGTTATATTTTCCTATACCCAACCACAAAGGATATGGGAAGATCTGAACTCATTACCAGTGTTATGTCTACATTAATTCTGTCACATATTCAAATCACATAAAATACATAATTATCAATTTATTTATTTCCATTCATTTTTAGCTAAACTAGTTGACTTCGTACTCACTCTGTCTGTTTTTTATGGAGGTTTGGTCCTCTTGGATCATGGTTTCTGTGGCTCTGGAAAAGGCCATTGCTGTGGCACAATACCCATGATGCACTAGGTAGCTGGACACCATACTGCAGATATAAACATAAAAAGGTTAATATGGGGAGAAAAAAACATTAAGAATCACGAATTTGCAGCGTAACATGAATTAGATGTTTTTAATCATCTTTTAGACTGCTGAATTTATTATTAGGTGACTGGCAGCTCACTTCTGCAGAACAGACTGCCAGTCTCCCAGTCTTTCTCCGATGGGGAAGCGGGCAATCATGCTGTGGATCTTGGCCCTCCATTCGCTCATGTAGTCCTCAATGTCAAACACAAAAGGCTGCTGGCCAAAATTAGCATCTACTATCTCCCCTGGAGTCTGTAGCCCTACTGTGGGGTACAGGTTAGGCTGAAATGAGAGACAGAGACAAAAAGAGAGAGCTGAGAGTCTGCTCAGAAGGTCTACACATACACCGTCAGTAATTCTCAGCACAGGGGATGCTTCAGTCACACCTTATCTGGCAAGGCCTCACCTGAAGCTCCATACAGAAACATAAATTCTAATCTGCGCTCAAAATTAGACAACACCACACCATCAATCTCCCATTAAAGGTATTCATTTAACAGACGCAGAGTGACTTACAAATGACGAATGCTACAATGCAAGCGATTCATCCTAGGGGGAGAGTAACATGAGAACTACTGCAATACAAAGATCCAAAGCTGGGCAGAAAAGTACAAGCTAGAACAAAGATACAGGCGTGATAGAGGCCTTGGATGGCGTGAAAAATAAAAGTATCATGTCAATATAGGCATACATTTCCAAAAGCCTGAGTTTGTATTTTTGATACAAACATTTTCATATAAAACAGTCCAAGTCTTCTTTACTGATTTGAGAGTGGTGCCATTTTAGTATTATTTATATACTCGTTTATATATTATACATAGTAGTTAATTTCAGTTTGTTTAATTTTGTTGTGTGCTTTTGTCATTAGTTTTCTTTAAATATTTCCATTTAGCCCTATTTTTTTTACTTATGTTTCAGTTTTATTAACTGTAGTACTAGACAACTCATTTTCGTTTTAGTTTCTTAAGCTTTTCATCTAATATTTATACTTAATTTTATTGAGTTTAAATTTATTTAAATTTTTTAGTTTTAGATGACAATGTTTAAGAGAGGTCTGTGGGCTTTACTTACTGGCAGATCTGTGAAAGCCACACCTGGAGGGAAAAGAACAGCTTAGTATTGTGGATTCTGAGATTACATAAGAAAGATATCAACAACTTTAAGTTGAGCAACGAAATTGATGTCTAATGATTTCAGCATTAGTAAGATTTACTCTCAAGTCATTTTTCATTAAATTATTACCTAAACTGTGCCCATTCTTGGTGTAAAAGCATGTGTTATTGATGAGGTTCACGCAGCAGCCAATGACGTCGCCCGTTGTGAAGGTTGGGCCATACGGTTGGCCAGTCCCTGAGGAGCAAAAGGAGTGTCCGTCAGGGGGCTTGTGGTGTGGTATTAGATTAATCTGCAGAGCAGTGCGGGCAGGGATATTACTCCTAAAGCAAAGCTCAGTGTTCCCTTCATGCTAATGAAATGGGCAGAACTCCAGTATGGGATCAGAGACATGGAGGTCAGCGGGACGCGTAAAACCATTACACTCAAATTGCACACATACCCACACATGCAAACATACAATGTGCCAATGCGCCATACATTCTCATAAGAAACTACAGTGACTTCAGTGATTTAAGTGAAAAAAAAGCACAAAGAGAAATGGCAAGCTGATTAAAGACATTAGAAGCTAACATAAAATAATAATGATAATAATAATAATATATACACACACACAAACACACACACACATTTATAAAAATATGATAAAAATGTATATATATAAAACATTTTATAACATATACATATATTGTATAGAATGTTTTTATATACATTACTACACATTATCACATTTTATATAGCAGCCTATACATAATATATATATACATATATATTTACATTACATCTAAATTATATATTTATTATTATTCATACTTTATATTATTAATTGTATTCCATTAACATATTTATTATATTTTATAATAAATTTTTTAAATTATATTAAATTACTAAAATTTTAATACATTTGTAGCTGGAAAAAAAATATTGCCGTTATCATCTGCTTTCCAATGAACCAGCTTTGTTCTATAACACACAATTACAAAATACCCAAAATGTAAAATGCAAAACATCAGACCTCATGGAAACATGAATTTTCCAGCATAAACTCTAGCAGCAATCCAGCAACCTGAACTGAACATACATTACAGCATCCCAGCTCTAGTCAAGGAAGTACCTACAACCAGAGAAAAAATATCATGCTGTTGGCTGTAAGCACTAAACACACCAGAAAATTCACTGGCCACCCGACATGCGTTTTGTCTACAATTCCACTAAATTCCAAAACGCTCTGACACAAAGAGTGGTTTATACAGAGAGCACAGGGGTCAATAAACACATAAGTTGTCGTCAGCACGCACATGCCGAATAGGCTAGATTGCTTCGAAGCGTTTCAGTGGCCTCAGGCACAGTACAGAAGCTAACAAGCAAACGACAAAGTCACTTGATTGGTCAAAGGGGTCACAGGAGGGTGACATAAACTCAACTGTGCCCAAAACTCCTCTCTCTATTTCTGCATATAGACCTTTCTCTTATGCTCTTGTCTAATAAATGCTACCGTTTAAAAGTTTGGGGTCAATTTCTATTTCAAATAAATTGCTGTTCTTTCAATTTCTAAAAAAAAAAAAAAGCATCACGGTTTCCACAAAATTATTAATCAGCACAGCTGTTTTCAACATTGATAATAATAAAAAATATTACTTGAGTACCAAAATCAGCAAATTAGAATGACTTCTGAAGGATCATGTGACACTGACGACTGGAGTAATGACTGCTGAAAATACTTGACGCTTTATAGATAAATATAGAGCTAATATGTAATGTGATGTTTCTACAGCAAGATGTGATTCACACACTGAATCTATTTTAATATTCTTCAAAACAGGTTACTAATTTCATTAGTGTCTACTTGCATATTAAATCTTAATGAATGTGTCAACCTAACTAAAGCTAAACTTATTTACACCACCTGTTCAATTCAGTGTTTAATTTAGCAACACATTTTGATTTAAATTGAATCTGTCTTACTATTAGATTACATTTAAATTTAGTCAGATTAACGTTACGTTGTCAAATCATACATGTGTACAAACTAATAGAATAAAGCAGCCAACATATTTTTCAAATTCCAAATATTGTGTATACGAGTGTGCTCCACATACTATAGTCGAAATATTCAGTCACATTTTCTTTATGATAATTCAAGCACATTTCATTTGGTTTTTGCAATCAAACTGGATTATGTTTGGTTATTGTGTAATTTTTCATTCCAGTTAGTCATTTAAATGAACTGGTTCAGTAGCAGCTTGACGTCCTCTGGCGTGTAAATGGATTCTCTTTGAGAATGAAACGATTTGTTCTGATTAATTTTAGCTTTTTGTATGAATAATTATGACAAGGCTTTGTGATCTCAGAACATTCTGGACACCAGGTAAAATCCATTGAGGAAAACCAATAATGAGATCTAGGTCTGCTCTACTCTCCTTCCTCTCCTTTCCTTTGAGGACTCATGAGAAAAAAAAAAACACATCACAAAGTTATTTCCTGAGATTAAGGTGCACAGAAAGAAAAACCTTGAGATGTCTCTGCATTTGCAAGGTCATTCCCACAGCTAATGTTTTTCAGGACATGTTGAGGCCCGTTCTTGGCCTGAATTACAGTCTTACTGTGATAAAAAGATATTAAAAAGTGAAAGACAGAAAAAGTAGGAGACAATTGGTCTTAGGCTACAAGACTATAGCCAAAAGTGAACTGTAAAGTCAGCATTGGCCTTTTCATGAAAGGATTCATCAGTGCACACTACTGCAAAGGAAAAACGTCTCTGTAATCTTTAATCAAAATGTAATAACTTCTCTTTTAATCTTCAAAGCTCTTCTTCCTAAACAACTTTCCTTTTTAGCTCTCTCCAATCGCCTGGCTCCATTCTGGTATGTAACGCCCACTTTTCACAATCCAATCATTCCTGATGGATGAAATCAAGTCCCTCCCTACTTTTTTTTCTCCAATATTCTGCCAGAATTAAAAGGGGTTATGAACACCATTTTTTTTACTTAAACACACTTAATATGTAACCAAATAAAGTTACTTTTTAAGTGGCCTTTTTTGTGGGCTACAGAAATGTAACCTCACCCGCTCATTAGTCACCCACAGTTCACCATGACCTGTAGTGAACAGCTCATCCCTTTAGTGTACATACAAGCACACACACACACACACACAAACACACACACTTACTCACCAGGCAGTCTGTTCATGTTGACACCCTGGGCAGACAGTCCAATTCCCATGTACCTGCAAACACCAATGAGAGAGGACAAATGTTAGCTTCACTAAAAATAAGGACTTTGATAAACAATGAGACTGCATTTAAAGGAACACTCCACTATTTTTGAAAATAGGCAAATTTTCCAACTCCCCTAGAGTTAAACAGTTGAGTTTTACCGTTTTCGAATCCATTCAGCCGATCTCCGGGTCTGGCGGTAGCACTTTTAGCTGCAGCTTAGCATAGATCATTGAATCTGATTAGACCGTTAGCATCTCGCTCAAAAATGACCAAAGAGTTTCGATATTTTTCCTATTTAAAACTTGACTTTTCTGTAGTTCAGTGTTAATTTCGTTGACGAATAATTTTCATCATAATGTTCGTCAACGACATTTTTTTCACTGACGACAACGAGACGATAATGAACTGCAGACACTGAATCATACACACACAGAGAGCGCGTCTCACAGTGCGCGAGTACTCTTTCGCGTCGAATGAACGGAAAATTACACACAAAATGCTGTCGAATTGTCAGTTTTGACGAGTATTTATGTAAACAGTTGATTACGTCTTAAGTGAACGTAAACAGTAGGGAGAACGTGTATCAGTACATTGCATCCATTGCAGCTGTGCATTCGGTTTTAAAGGGACAGCAGCCTAATTTAGTTGCTATTGTCCGAGTCATTGATGTTAATCAATTGGTATTTCATTAAAAAGAAGACCATGTTCTTGTTCTTTATGAGAAGTGGTTTTATTTAATTTTAACATAAAGGCATGCTGTGTGTCACAGCAGTTAAATTGGTGTCTATCATGATAAAACCTTAATATCAAAACTATATACTGAGTTTGGAAATTTTGGAGAAATGCTTAATAAATGCATTACACTGTACCTAAACCCATTAGATTTTAGCCGACTAAGTTTACTGTAGATTTAGTCGACTAAAATCTTAGGATATTTAGTCGACTAAAACTAGACTAAAACTAAAAAACAATTCAGATGACTAAAATATGACTAAAACTAAATCAAAATTTGCTGTCAAAATTAACACTGCTGTAGTTACATCGTGTACTAAGACTGACGGAAAATGAAAAGTTGCGATTTTCTAGGCCGATATGGCTAGGAACTATACTCTCATTCCGGCATAATAATCAAGGATCAATCAAGGGTGCAGCAGGTGCAATGATATTACGCAGCGTCTGAAAATAGGCTAACTTCCGCCAACATAACCAACGTGACCACCTGCTTGCACAGGGAGCGTGCTGGGGACTATTTTCAGGCGCTGCGTAATATCATTGCGCCTGCTGCACCCATGCTACGGCAGCAAAGTTCCTTGATTATTACGCCGGAATGAGAGTATAGTTCCTAGCCATATCGGCCTAGAAAATCGCAACTTTTCATTTTCCGTCGGTCTTAGTACAGGATGTAACTAGAGTCAAGTTTTAAATAGGAAAAATATAGAAACTCTTTGATCATTTTTGAGCGAGATGCTAACGGTCTAATCAGATTCAATGATCTATGCTAAGCTGCAGCTAAAAGTGCTACCGCCAGACCCGGAGATGGGCTGAATGGATTCGAAAACGGTAAAACTCAACTGTTTAACTCTAGGGGAGTTGGAAAATTTGCCTATTTTCAAAAATAGTGGAGTGTTCCTTTAAATCATACACGATGCTCCTGATTTCTGCAAACGTTAGAGAATAAAAAAAAGATCCATGTCCTGTTGTCAATAGTGTAGCGATGTATAAAGCACAGCTCACACAGAAGTCACTTTTAAACCAATGAGAACCTGACTTTTTGTGTCGATCAATATGCGGTGAATATGTGACCAACTTGAACCTGTTGTGAAATCTGCATGGGGAAATATTTTGCTGTCACATACAATTCATGGTTGTGTCGATTCCTATGTAAATTACTGGTTTTCACCAGTGAAAAATCACAAAATAATAGTAAATGTGACTGTACTTCAATAAAATAAGAGAACAATCAAGCTCAATCAATTGAAACAATTAAAGTGGTGATTAAACTGAGTATAAGTCCCTGTGCACAAGGTACTTTGGGGTACTTTTTAAAAGTGCTAAGTGAGTCTGGGAAAGAGTTCCACAGCCTGGGACCACAGTGACTAAAGGATGACTCGACACCTTTCAACAGATTTAGGCACGACCTGTAAGTTGCAGTTAGATGGCCTAGAATAACATTAGTGATCCAGCAGGAATATATTTAGTAATCATTGCAAAGTGGTGACAGGAAAGGGTGGAACAATTTTCCATTTATTTTTGGACAATGATATCTTCAAACTGAAGGCATGACAAATACTTACCAAGTAGTGACTCAAGCATGACGCAGGGTAAACGTTTCACAGCAATTATCATTCTGATACTGTGAGTAGACTTGTGCCGGTATTCGGTAATGCGATATATCACGGTAATGAATATGCACGATATTGTTATCGTGGGCACTTCTAAATACCGTGAATAATTATATATTACAAATTATTTAGAATTTTGAATGCATTTTAATATCGCGATACATATTGATATTGAATTATTGTCCAGCCCTAATCGTGATAATACCGTATTCCGTGATAAAAGCATTAGCAATTAATCGCAACATGAGAATTTGATACCGGCATATCCCTAACTGTGAGAATGCTTTATTTTAATTTCAGAATGACTTAGTATTTGGATTGTCATTTTGCTTTATTGATAACTCCACTCAAGCTACATGAATTCCACAAGTTTGTGTACAACTTAATATTTTATAAAGATTTAAAGATCATCTTGTGCTTCAGTGGAAGCAAGAACATCTGTCGCACAATCAATGTCTCAAAATTGCTAGGTGATCTAGAAATAGTACAGAATATTAAATATTACTAATTCATTTGATCATGTTGGTATTTTTTTTCAAAATCCTAAGATTTTCAATGTTCTCTCAGGATTTTTAACCCCACTATATGTAAAACATATTAATAAAACAATCACCTCTTGTCTTCAAATTTTACCGGTGACGCAACTTTCCAAGTAAAATGTAATCTCAGTCAAATGTACAAATGCCACCAACCAGAAGCTGTTTGCACTTACCCATCCCTTCCTTTGCTTACAATCTTCACCTCAAAGTAGTAGATGCCACAAGCAGCAGGGATAGGATGGGTGGCCCGTACAGACGCTGCATCTTTGTGGTTTTTTCCGTGGCCTAAAGCAAGACGGAAACATTGAGGGAAATGAGTCACTGACCAAACACACCCTCTGGTATAGATGACTGTCCACATACATAACAACAAGGTTCAGAGGAGTTTTTAAGGGCACATATACAGGGTTTTCAGCTAAGGATAGGTCACGAAAGTTGACCACAACAGGCTCCATCTAACTGTTTTTAAATGCTTATGTAAACAACCTGCAAGAAATATGTGCAATAGGGGTCAGGTGAACCCAAAACCAACTATACTGGGCTTCCTTCTATCTCTCATTCTCACAGTTCTCCAGACCATCACCAAAACGAGACAGGTTCTACTGCTTTCAAAAGCAGCAAAGAAAAACAATGTTAGTCCACCGAAATGACAATTTGGACATCATTTACCCACCATCATGTTTTAAACCGAACATAAAATAACATAGTTTGAGAAAAGTCTTACAATGGAAGTAAAAGTTTACCAAAACTGTTTGGTTACCAACATGCTTCAAAATGTCTACCTTTGTGTTCCGCTGAGGAGGGAAAGTCATACAGGTTTGGATGACATGAGGGTGAGTAAATAATGACAGAATTTTCATTTTTGGGTGAACTATCCCTTCAAGTAATTTTTTTAAATGATAAAATACTCTCTCCTAACCATTTTTGATGTGCAGAGACATCTATAATTACGCTGAGGTTGTATTCCCAAGTACAAACAGTGTGGCAATAAAACATCACTCTGTTTTAGGCTTGCCGCGATAGACGGTGCTGACGGTGATACCGGTGTTAAGCCGCAACACCGGTTACGTCACTTGCCCACCACGTCACCGACCCCCGCCGTCGTTTAGATTTTTTATAGTAATAAAAATCATTTCGTTCAGTAAAAGAACAGACACTACAATTAAAAACTGAACGTAGCATGGTGTATTTTTATTTGTTTTGTTAATAAAAGTTCTGTTTTATATATAGGCTAAAGTGAGTTTGACGTTGTGTTTTGTTGTTGCATTCAAGCAATTGATGCCGAATTGCCGCTAATTCGAAAGTGAAAGTAAAATGTCACTTTTAAGCTATTTGAAAGCGAGGAAAGTGGGAAAATTCAAACGAACTAAAAACGAACAATTGCTTTACTCCGAATTGCCGCTATTTGAAAGTGAAAGTAAAATGCGCATGCCGCTTTTACAAGCTATTTAAAAGCGAAGGAAAGTGAAGAAAAGAGGGAACGCCCCAGCGTTGATACCGGTATTACCGGTGTTGTCACACGTCGATTAACCGGTGGGAAAATTTCCTCACCGTCACAACCCTACTCTGTTTGTTTGAGTGGTCCGACATGTCAACTTTCAGCTCAATCAATGGCAGGGGTTTGTGGTGGGACTACCTGCTTGTGAGCACACTCCCTGTCGACAGTTTGTTTGTAAATGAGGAGTGTTTGGGAAACCAATCTGGAAGCAATCATTTTTGCATTTCCATTTAGTGCAGTTAGTGGTGCAGAAATTATACACCGCACCTTTAAAAATTCCCAGAAGTTCTATAAAGTCAACATGAAAACAAAATGACCGTTTACTTTTTAAGAGACTATTCTAGTCTTAATGTAAAGAATAATCAGTGTTTAATTCAAAGAAAAAAAAATGTTTTAACAGCTTCTAAAACGACTTTCATCCTCTGCTGACATCATCAAGCCCTCTTATTTGTTAAGCTCCTCCCCTTCAAATGCAAAGGTCCGTTCTGATCTGGTAAGCCCACTTTCATGATACCTGATGGATTAATCAATTCTCATACTGCTTCACTCAACAAGTCACATTATGGAAACAAAATAGGTTTTGAATGCCATTTAATGTTGTCTTTAAAGTTAACCTCTAATATATGCTATAAATTAAATTCTTCTCAATTCAATTGTGAGAACGGAAGTTGGCGAGTGTCATTGTCGTCTAAGCCTCCATGTACCATAGCAATGTGCTCTAATCTCCTAATCCAGTTTCCTGCAGGTTGTAACACCTGCCAGCATTAATGGACACACAGTATTAGATTCTTCACTGCACTTCCAGAGTCTCATGTTTAACTCGTCTGTGCGCACGTATATGGACATTTCAGCGTATCTTTGTGTTTGTGTGCCCCAGACCTGTAACATAACCCTCACCTGAAGTTAAATTGCAGGACACCGGGTCACATTGCTACTGTATGGGTTTTGAATACAAAAATGAGCATACGTATATTCACCATCATCATCATCTCTGATTACTGTAATAATATTAAGCACTTTTATTTTTAGCTTTCCAAGTTCTGCTAGGAAGTCACAATAGGTTTGTCTGCCAAACCCAGACAAGCATTCATAATCAAGAACACACACAAAATCTATTTATAACCACGTCTCATACAACCAGAGTAAAGGCAGACGACCCTGTATGTGCAAATCCCCAACTCTCTCTCTCAACACACACTACAAATGCACATGCGTGTGTACCGCCCCCTGCTTACACACTCAATCTATTTATACATCATGCCATGACCACACCATTCTAGGAGCACAGAACAGCAAGAGGACCCTGGGTGATTCTCTCCTTCTTTAGTTGCTTGTCTGTCCGTCCCTCCCTCTATTTCTATGCCAAACATGTTTAATGCAGAAAACACAAACGGCTTTCATACAAAGTCCTCCTCTGCAGTGCATAATCATCTCTGCTGCATCTTACAGCGCTGCTCTAATCTAAAATGTAATAATAATCTAAAATTTACTTTTAAAAAAAACCATTCAAATGCACAAAAATGTGTTTTGTCATACCACCACAGTGGCGTCTAATACCACGGTGGAGCAGTTGTACTGCTAACCGGCACAGCCCTAATCATCCAGTGATTCTCCAATCATTTAGTCCTCTTAAACTCCGCCCCTTTCTTACAACTGACTGCACGCTCATTTTAAGCTGATCTGGCTCCATCCAATCAACAACCGTTGGAAACAACCAAGTCCCCAGCCCTACATTTCTTTTATTTGTTTTTCGAAAATCTACCTAAAATACGGGAAAAAATATCTGTTGCTACTTGCATTTTATCACAACTTTAATTTTCATGAAAATAATGTCAAAATGCATCAAGCTCATTCTAATTTCCTTTACTTAAGTTACAATTATTAAATATGATGGGAAGAAAAATCATTTGAAATTAAAATAAAAAAAAGACAATAATATCACGATACATAAACATTTCTTTATGCTAAATACTATTTATATTATTATTTTTTATTTTTTTTTATTTTTATTTGGTAAATATGACAGACTTCTTCGTAAAATTCACCAAAGAATATAAAAAGATTTAGAAAAAAAATGAACAGTGGAATGACAGTCATACACTCTCTCACATAAACACAGACAAAATCAAAATTGCACCAGAAAATTGCACTGCTATCTGGTAAAACTCCTTTTCATAGTTAAGGTTTCTCTGTCAAAGCATCTAAGGCAAACGGTGGGAGCTGTACAAGGCTACAGCTGGCACCCATAATAACATCGGCTAAGCAGGCAAAAAAAAAACTACAATATGAGAGAACAAAGACACAGGGAGAGAAGATTGGGAGTGTTGTGCTAGTGTTAGCAAACAGGGTTTCACAGCTTCACAGAGACACTAAAGGGAAACGAACACAATCTGGTGATGTCACCGCACCGACTGAACATGCATGACTGGCTCCTCAGACAGGCAAAAGCCCTCTATAGGCAAACATTACAGAGCTTAAAGGAAGCACAGAGTCCAACAGCCTGCACAGAAAATGGACAGCAGCCCACCAAACTGCACAGAAAAAAATCTAAGCTTATGCTATATTTGTATCTATTTATCTTGCATTAATCTTCTCACAGGAGGTGGTGTAAAAACAATATCTGCATGGGTGTAGTGCTGCAAAAGTCACATTTCCTCTCTCCATTAATGGGCTCAAGTCCTAGTCAGTGTGACGTCGATGAGTAAAATGAGGTCCACACTGGGAACAAAGCTAGAGAATGAGCCTCTGGTGTCTTTTCCCCTTGTTTCATCATGCAAAGGCTTGGCAATTTTTTACATGCTTCCTAAATAAAGATGGAGAGCCATGTGGGATAATATAATATAACATGGTATAACATTGCACAGATTTTCATCACACTATTTGACAGCATATATCTATTGTCTTTACTTGACAGCAACATGGGGTTTCCTAAAATTCAGTCTACAGAAATAGAATCTGGTACACTGGCCAAATAGCACTGAAGGTTAATAGACTGCAGGTTAAATCATTTATTAAGTGGAGCTGCTTTAAATATGTTGCTACAAGATGTATAATGGCTCTATTTAAAAACAGATTACAGTAATCTGTAATCTAATAACTGCAATCCTGCTTCGAGGATAAACTGACCAAAACAGTCAGGATGACAGAACAAAAAGAAACAAAGATCCTTAACAACAAGGAAAAAATGAATATCAGTATATCAATATCATCTGACTGTTAAAAATCAAATACTTGGCTAACATCAGCCACCTTATGAAGTGGTAAACATACCCATAGCCTGAAAGGAGATAGTTGCCAATGAGGTACAATTTTCCACAGACACAAAGCAGTGTACATTACCAAAATAATGCAGTGTTGTTCATTGATGTTTCAAAGGGAATGAACTAAACTATAAGGATAAACTTCCCACTGGGCCTGAGCATTGACACAAATAGCTGTCAACTGGAACATGTAATAAAATGAACACACCAGTGTCCCTAAAATGGTAACCATCCTAAAGTATTGCACAACAGGCCCACAGACACACGCACCATCAAATCAGAATTAGGTGCTTTATAACAGCATTTGTGTCTAAACTAAAAATAACCAGGGTACATGTCAGTAACATTTCTGTAATCTGTCAGACAACACAAAGCCTTTTTACAAACCTAATAATTCACATACAGTATCTCACAGAAGTGAGTACACCCCTCACATTTTTGTAAATATTTTATTATATCTTTTCATGTGACAACACTGAAGAAATGACACTTTGCTACAATGTAAAGTAGTGAGTGTACAGCTTGTATAACAGTGTAAATTTGCTGTCCCCTCAAAATAACTCAACACACAGCCATTAATGTCTAAACCGCTGGCCAAAAAAGTGAGTACACCCCTAAGTGAAAATGTCCAAACTGGTTTTACAATGTCAGTTTTAATGGCTAGTCAGGAAAGCTACTTTATAGTTCAATTAATTATCATACTAGTAGGTTTAATTGTAACACACACTTCTGTTTAGTAAATGCATACTAGCATCTACTCAGTTAGCACTCTGAAAACTGGAATGTATACTAGCAACTATATTGTTCCAACTAACTAATGAATAAGTAACAGTACTTGACGAATTTTTACTAGTAAACTGGAATAGACACCAGAAACAATTACAATACATACAGTACTAGACAGGAATAAATATTTGATATGTCCACCAGATTTTCATAGAATTCAAAATGGCAAAAATGTATAATTTTTTACCAAGAACAATGGAAGTTATTTGGCACTACTGGGACAGTAACTAGTGGCAAAATAATAAGTACTTGTAAATAATATATAAGTTCTAGGGACTAATTAAACAGATACTACTGGAATGACGACTGTATGTCTACTGAAATTGAAAAGACAGCAGTCACTGTTGGGTTACTCAGTAGTGATCAAAAAATAAGTGCTAGCAAGATTAAAAACAGATACCAGTTAACCTGAAAGAATCTTTTTAAAACATACCCACTAAAAGCTTATATATTGTGCTTAGTGGTAGTTCGTAAAATAGACTGCTTTATTATGTATTCTCTAGAAGCATGTACACAGTTGTTAAACAAAAAGAGTAACTTTAGTACATCTGCACTGGGTAAATTCACAGACCCCCTGGGGCGACTGGGTCATTCGAAACGCCACAACTGTTTAAACAGCTAGTGTTGTGGAATTCGAATTCATTATTATGGCGATGAATTCAGCGCTTCGAAAGATTCGCTCGGATTCGAATCATTCGTCAACACAAATGCGCACCAAAAACCATTTTCAGTGATTTGTTTCGTTGTGATGCGGCGCGCGTCCTTATATAAATCACCCGATAACTGATACACAAATACACGTATGCAATGCGGAGGAAATTAACAAGCATTTGCAATTCATTGCAATGGTGTAGCTGCTTAGCTGCCCTTATTGCCCTGCCGTGGCTAGCTAGCACCAACCTCGACTAATTCACCGAAAGGGAGTTCCAAAACAAGCTCGGCAAATCAATAACACTTGATGTTTATTACATGGTAATAGGTAAAAGGTAGGTGTCCAAAAGCTAGACACTCCAGCCGTGCTTATGCCCCAAGCTACTCTCGCTAGCCGAATTCTGACATGAAGGTTTGCTAAATGTCAACCCATTTGGACATTCCTCTTTCCTTCTATGTAACAAAGCAAAGGGGACGGAAAAAAGCAGCTCAAACTAGATCGGGGAGATTGCATATAGTCGAGTGCAGCGAACCAGCCGGGATTGTCAAGGCCTACGGGTTGACAGTTCAGCGTGTGTCACATCTGTATACCTTTGTAATGCACCCGCAGATTATTCTGTGAGAGCCCGATGTAGCTGTACTTATCCTTGGGGCTCCAAGATCGGGGTAAGGGGGTCTCTTCCTCATTCACGGCCGGGTACAGCCGCTTCAAACGCTCGTTTAGCTCATGCTCTTGATAATTAAAAGCAGGATCTCCTGTTAGCAGGCTCCCCGCTCCAAGCTCTGCCATTTTTGCTTATGTTTTTGTATTCCTCCTAGTAATCCTACCCTGTTGTGTCAATCCGCTAAAAAGCAGAGAGCGCTAGACTAAGGAGAGAAACAGCAGCGGTGAGATATCCCCGGATAGCAGCCGCTCTACAGTGACGTGTGGGTACTGTAGTTGAACACAAAGCCCTGCGCAGTGCACACTGCTGACATGAGGGAAGTGCCATCAACTACATGACCCATACCTAATTCAATCGCGGCTGTAAAACGCAGTCTAGGATTTGTAGTTTTTAACACAACTCATAATTCTATCGCTTGAGCATGTATATACTTGATTTAGGCCAAAAGCAAACCGTGTTTGTTGCATCTCGAATCAGCGACTGTCATTTATTCAAACGTGTGATGATGAAAATCAATTTCACTACATGTTTGCATATAATTCAGCCTCTATCAGCTTTTTATGTAACAGACTTCATGTAATCCTTATCCTAAACTGTTGGTCTGTGAAGCAGTTGTTTACTTTATTAACTGAATTGAAATAGTACTGTTCGTTTTATGTGTTAAACTATTATAATAAAGTATTAATACATTAAACGCTGTTGTGGTTTGTCTTTTTATAAATATATTAATGTTAGTACAATTTTAGTAAATACATTTTACGTTTTTACTGCTAATTTAAGTTTACTGTTAAAAAACAAGTGCATTATATTCAAAAATCAACGTCACATTTAACTCTAACAAGACATTTTTTTCAACAAGCACTTCAGTCTAAAAAACAATCGGGTTTAGAAAAACAAGACACTCGGTGGTGTAATCCAATAGCACTAGCGTTCACTGCCGTGATGAAAAAAAATACATATGTTATATCATCCTAGCGCATTAAACATTATAAATATTTACCAAATAACGTATTTATACATTAACACATATAAGCGAATTTAATGCGACACTTATAATGTTTTAGACGATAAAGTCACATATTATTGTTCATTCAGGCACGATGTGGGCGCCTATAAACGGAAGGTCTTTTCTAGGGTCCATCGGTATCATGGCAACCACCTCTCAAACAACAACATTGCCACGCTGCTGAAGCTTCAGTTGGACGTTCGCTGCTAAATTTGCTGTGGATTATTTTTAAGCTGTTTATTCGTCCAAATGTCGCTGAAAGAACTACAGTTGCCACCGCGTTTACACTCTGAAAGGCAAGATATAAGTACATTTCAGAATCGATAACGTTGCTTATACACTAAACTAGAAGTGACTGCCTACAATCCAAACAAGGCAGCGGAAGTCAGTAGTTTAGTGGAAACATGCTAGTAAATGGGTAACTTACAAATAAAATATTTTTACATTAAGATATTAGTTTAAAATAACCATATAAGTATAAAGTAAATTGTATGACACTGGTTGCCATTTTCTCTTATTTTAGTCATCTTTTTATTATTTTCTGAAATTAAGTTAATATGCCTGCAGTGTGACAACTGTTAATATATTTGAAAAATAATAATAGAAAAAAAAAAATTTTGGATAAAGTATCTGCTGTCACTGTTTGACATGTTCAAACTGCATGTCTTTCTGTTAGCAGAGGATCGCAGCGACACATTACTAGCAGGATATCTAAGTCAAAGTTGATAAAAGTAAGTTATAAAAAAATCTTATTTGATAGTATTTCAAATATCTGATAGCTGATTTACAGATAGATCTATACTATTAGCTGGTCAAACTTTAATAAACCAGTAAATATATAAGTAAATAAAGAGTGACTTTGATTTAGCAGCATATACTTAAAAATTCTGCTTATTTGGTTTATCAGTTCTATAAAAAGAGATTTAATTTGTAGTGTTTGACACCACCATCACATCCCAAATAATGCCAAATCAACTCTAATTTCCCTCAGACCAATGCGTGGGAAACCTCTGGTAACCTTTCATCCTGGCCTGCTGAAGTTACCAATCAAATTGTCCAAAAGCCCAGAGAAATAAAAAATCATGGCCATGGGTATGGCAAGTACAACACATAGCATCTCAGTGTTCATTTTAGAACTGCAGTAGTTGTAAAACTTTAAAATGGTTTAGGCATCTTTTCCATGTCCATTGCATACTTTGATCCTAATGTCTACTTTTATGATGTGCCTGCCTAATGTCTACTTACAGATCTCTTTCCAAGCCTCATTTCTTGGAGCAACTGGAGTCTCACCTGAAGAGAGAATTAGAAGCTTTAGACACACATGGCCTCAAAGTCCAAGAGCTCAGACTGCAGGTTTACATCCCACTTTGTATTGGTCTCTTACTCTTTAGCATACATTATGGTTCAAAAGTTTGAAGTCAGTAAGATTTGTTTTGTTTTTGAAAAAAACCTTTTATGCTAACCAAAGCTGCATTTATTTGATAAAAAATTAACATTGTGAAATATTATTACAGTTTGAAATAACCGTTTTCTATTTTAAAGGGGTCATATGATGCGATTTCAAGTTGTCCTTTCTCTTTGGAGTGTTACAAGCTGATTGTGCATAGATAAGATCCCTGAAGTTGCAAAGACTAAAGTCTCAAAACCAAAGAGATATTCTTTATCAAAGTTAAGACTCTGCCACGCCCCCCTAAAATGGCTCGTTCTAACACGCCCCCACATATCTACCTCACTATGTGGAAATATTAGCATAATGCCGCCCAAATGTGCACGAAAAGAAAGAAGGCGTGGTTTCAGTAACTGCAGTTAGTGTTGAAGCAGCATGTCAGGGAGACGCTGTGTGTTTCTAGGCGAAAGCAGAAGCACTTTATTTGGCCTTCCGAAAGTAGATGCATTTAGGAATCTTTAAGATTACTTACAACAGAACAGCAATGCATTTTATGGACGACCGTTTCGTGAACTTAGGAGAGGAGGTAATTCTGACTTTGCTATGACAATCTGGCGCTTCTGAATCAGCTACTGTTAGTTTAAGTATTTGCTATTGACTGTTCAAATGCGGAGTTTTGCACATCGTGTTTGTGTGCGTGTATGTGTGTGTGTGTGCGCACGCGTGTGTGTGTGTGTGTGAGAGAGAGAGAGAGACAGGGTCACATCACAGTGGAGTCAGCTGTCTTAACCGTGGCTTGTGTACTGCAAACACATACCAGTTTCATCACTGTGTCTGTCACGCGACTCTGTTCCCCTTTCGGGCTCTGTCTTTACATTTATTTTGAAAGATGAAGCTCGCGATTATGGTAAGGGGCGTTACATTTCCGACGAGTGCTTGCGGTGTTCGGCCAATCACAATGCACTGGGTCAGCTGGCCAATCAGAGCAGACTGCGCTTGTCGGAAGGAGGGACTTTGTAGAAAACTAAGCGTTTGAGAGAGGCGGGCATATAGGACCTACAATAATGTACAGTATTTGAAAAATAGTGTGTTTTTTGAACATTAAAGCATGTCAACATATTCTGATACACCAAATGCACAAAATAATGATCTTTAAAAAAGCATCATATGACCCCTTTAATATATTTTAAAATGAAATGTTCACTTGATCTTAAAAAAATGTCACATAATCATTCAGAAATCATTATTATGGGTGCTCAAAAACATTTGTTATTATCAATGTTGAAAATGCTTAATATTTTTGTGGAAACCATTGATACATTTTTTTTAGGAATCTACTTTGATGAATAGTTCAAAAGAACAGCATTTATTTGAAATATAATTCTGAAAAAGAATGCTTAAAGTCTTTACTGTCATTTTTGATAAATTAAATTTATCCACACAATTAAAAAGTCCACACAATACTAAAAAAACAACATGAAAATGTATGTGTGTATATATATATATATATATATATATATATATATTTATTTTTTCTGCTTTTTTGCCCTTCATTATGTAGGTTTTCCAGGAGGTGTTTGGCTATTTAATCGAAGAATTTAAAACCTATAAGCCTATTTTGTCTGCCATCAAAAATGAGTATGACGTCACATTAGGTATGTATAATCTTTTTAGTTATTTGTGGGAGAGGAAATATTTGTGCTAGTAGGCTACCACCATTTCTATTATTTATTTATTTTTTTGTTACTAATTGTTATCAGTATTGTATTAAACAAAAGGCATGTTAATGCAAAACATGTACAATTGATGCTGATCACTTTCAAAACATAAACTGTAGCAAAGGCAATATATAGAAATCCAAGACGTGTAATATAACGTAAAATTAAATGCTAATGGACCTCAATTGGTCAATAGTAAGTAGGGATGTAACGATTAACCGCGAGCCGGTTGAAAATCGATTCAAATATGTGACGATTCAAATCGGTTGAGATGCTAAACAAATCGCGATTCATTTAGGGGTTCATGAGAAAAATAATAGATGAGATGACACTAATCAAAGTGTTAATGTCTCTCCCAGTGCATCTTCGTGAACAGATCAGGGATCTGTTACCACTGCGGGGGAAGCTGGTGCTTGTGTCGGAACAGTGTGAAAAGAAGATTCTGGATCAGAGAGTACAGGAAAGAAATGAGATCCGAGCTCTGAAGCAAGAATGTCAGCGTCTGCAGCGTGTCATTGAGAGTATGAGAGGACAACAGACTGCTCTGCAGATTCAGGTGGAGCTAATTTATTATGTCTGTCCTTTTGTAGAGATCTGGTCACCTTGGATTAGTCACTATTCTGAGTGGTTAAAGGGTGTTTTGTCAGTATTTGACAAATGTACTGAATATCGGTTAACGACAATCATGACCTCTCAATAGGCTACAATAGGGTAAAGCTTATTTTATGGAATCATATGATCCCATTCTCTATGAGAAACTGATCATATTATGTTGTGGTTTCTCTTAGCATATTATGTGTATCTTATTAACATTTGAACACAGTTTGAAATTAATTGAAATGTTTACAGCAGATGCTTGTCAGGGCCAAACGATGGGTTATTGATTTACATCTCAAGTGGTGCAGGTCATTCACATACAAATTTGATAGAGGAGGAGAGTGAAACTAGAAAGAAAATGAGTTCAAATTAACTGATTCCTAGTGTTGTTAAATTAGATTTTATTTTTATACTTTCATTTTCTGTTTTATTTTTAGTTAGGTTAATTTTTTAGTAATTTTGTTATGTGCTTTGTAATTTAAATTAGTTTATCTAGTTTTAGTGTTTTTTTATCTTAAATGTATTTTTATTTCGGTTTTAGTCATTTTATACTTAAACTTAAGTTAATGTTTTTATCTAATAAATAAATAAATAAATATATGTATATATATATATATATATATATATATATTAGGGCTGACAGTCGATTACAATTTTTAATCTGATTAATCACACCCTTTTTCTGTGATTAATCACGATTAATCGCACACTTCATGAAATT